ATAAATATGTGAAAATGAAATGGTTAAAACATGAATTATGTAACCGGTGCGGTCAGTGACAGTCGAAAGCCGTCTTGTAATGGTTGCGGCGTCCCGGGATGATGCAAGAACACTGGCAAATATTTACTTGTGTAAATGAAGTTATTCATGTAAAAAATGACAACAAAGAAGTATGAAATTCTAGTGTCAGCTAAAATCACAAAAGGTGGGCGTGATATCCACATGATAAGTCAAGTCGCTATAATCGAGGGTGAATCGAGTGAACACAGAAGTGCAGATGAGCGAAAACTATGTTAGTAAAATGAATAAAATCATGTTGTTAAAGACGCACTTAAAACAGAAATTCAAACACGTTTAGCTAAGATATTCGAAACAAGAATAATGACTTAGAAGAATATCATAAGTAAACAAACGTAATGAATAACTGATTTGGAAAAAGGTGAAACGACAGTAAGTGTCCTTACTGACATGTCCGCTGAAGGAATTTGAGAAAGTTGACCCTAAAGAGGTCAGTCAAGGCTTCAATGATTGGTTTGGAGTTAAAGATCGTGTGGCCGAGGTCAAGAAAAGTCAGATCGTAAAAACATACGGTTAACTATGAATAAATTAAATTACTATGCAGACAAAATTTAAATAGATAAATAAGACTAAATGAAGGGATAAGACTAGTAAGAGGAAGTGAGAATACATCACTTAAAAAGAGCAAAGACATGAGAGAGTTCCTTGATAGACCCGTTCAGAACATTCCTTATTTCAGTAGGTAAGGTTATGGGTACTAAGGCTTCACGATGAAGTATGCAGTGAACATGGATTTTTGTCTTTCACCCTAGTCATGTATCCCGACTGCATACCAAGCAAGCATGGCTGGAGCTCCATCAGTGCACGCACCAGCCAACGAATCCCATGAAAATTGTTTTTTTTCAGAAAGAAGTTTGCTATATTATGAAAAATAACTGCTGCTGTTGTACAACTTTCCGTTGGGTGGCAGAACACAACTGACCCGAAACGAGAATATATCAGTAACTGGGAACATTGAGAGAGGTCAGTTGCTTCGTCACACTGGATGCCAAAAACAGGAGAATCTTACTTGGTTGAGAATCTGATCTCTGACGTCTTGAGACAATTAATCGATCCTTCTCTTGATTGTATCGTTTGACAGTGAAATCTGGGAAAGCTTGTTCGTACTATCTTTCCCCAGAATGAGTTTTGCTGCAAGGAGTAGATTTGGTTGTATGAGAGACTGTCCGATGTTATTGCTCCTCTTGCTCTTTGCAATCAACATGGCGATCCTCAAGCCTCAACAACCTTTGAAGTTTGTTGCCGAAATGCCCCACTTGCGTCCAACTTAGCTTGCTTCAAGGAATGTCCTTGTTTCAAAGGATGCCTTGGGCTTGTCCTCAAGTGGCGTCCCAAGCGTGAGGGCGGCATTCCATCACTGGCCAAAGTTTTGTAACATATCACAAACTGGGGGACCTCAGTATCACTCTTTTGGAGGGACACGAATTCAAATCGAATATATTCGTCAAGATAAATCCATTTCTTTGCACTCATTGCGAATTATGTGCAGTGGACAACACAAATCTGTGAACAAAAAATAAGGCACGTATAAGGTAATGATTGATATCGCCACGTGTTCATATACACCACTTGATGATAATCACAATCGCATGACACATGATCGAAAAGTTCGTAAACATTGCTAGTGACAACAATCTTATATGTTCATAAGCACCCCATAACATTAACAAACACATCATCATAAACACCACCAAAATAACAACACCTATTTTTAAGGCAGTCAACTTCTGACAGAATACAAACGAAATTAAAAACTTACGGATAAAAAACAGGGCAACACAAGCGTGTTCACAGTTCACCAATAAACTTAGGGTTGCTTACTCTTTAGGTAGATATAACTACTGAGATAAAGCATACTTCAACAGCCTTAATTGAATAAAAGTGAGAGAAGAGCGGTCATTCCCACCAACGTGTGCAGAAGACTGAGAGAGAACGGGGCATCAGTCGCCACAGAGCAGTATACAGATCCAGGACGAGTTAAAACCTTCCTTCCCAAGGTTTCCAAGGGATATGGAAAGGGGGGGGGGGGGTCAGGAGGTACAGAAAATGGGAAGCGGTGCTAATATAGTAAAAAAAACTAAAGGTATCAGGCGATACTTTTACAATTTCTACTCAAACTTCTCCTAATTTGACCATGCCATCTGTAAGAGAATAACAAGTATAATTAGAGAAATGTCTGCCTTTCCCCAAAGGCTGACGCCCCCCAGCTTAAGAATCACTGGGCTAATCGGAGACAGAAGAATTCTTGTCGAACTTCTTGATGTATTGATTATCGAGATCCTATATCAGATATGTATTGGACACAGATACACAAAATATAGCAAGGCAAATGAGTATGGATATGTCACAGTTACAACCTCTTAAGCTAGTGGCACAGAAAGGTACGTTACTGGAGGAGCCACGGATCCTGTCTCATTCTACAGACAAAGTATTCCAAATATAATCCAAAGAGGTCAGCAGAGTTGACACACGCATACATATATATATGTATGTATATATATATATTTATACATATATATAAACGTTTGTGTATATATATAATATATATAAATGTATATACATATGTGTATGCATGTGTGTGTGTGTGTGTGTGTGCGCGTGTGTGTGTGTGTGTGTATGTGTATGTGTGTGTGTGTGTGTGTATGTGAATAAATACATTCAAATATGATATATACATACATATATATACATATATGTACACATATATAGATGTATTTTATATATATATATATATATTATATATATATATATATATATATATATATATATATATATATAAACATATTCAATACTCAACACACACACACATATATATGTTTTTATGTATGTATGTGTATGCATATATGCATATATAAGAGCGCCACTAATGAAATTTATGTCCATAGGTAAATACTTCATCATAAGAATCGTACTTACAAGTTACACAAGTGTAAAGAGAAGATTAATGAAAGAAAAGAATTTTCTTTTAAATATACGAGCCACATATATTTACGTTTTTACTAATTCTCTGCAAGTGTAAGTAACTATAACTCAGTATGCTATGTGTAGTGCTAGCAATACAATACTTACCTTTTCATAATGCTGTTATACAACCACAGGTACACGACAGACACTATGGAAGGCCTGCGAGATGGGGGGTGTCCTGAGTGGCAGTGTGAATTCACTTACAATAAAACAAGAATCACAGAAGCAGATGCTATCCTGATCAGGTCAAATACGTGAGTATATGGTTCTCTATAACAAAACTGGACAGTTGCTGTATATAATAATGTCTTGGTACCAAGTGTCTTTATAGATAACATGGAGTTTGGTATGAAAAACTGAACACCTGGCCAAGAACAAAAAAGAAAGAGTTCACTAACCATTGTAAAGAAACGTCTTTCGTTGGAATTAGTCCAGTGTGTGTGTCACCGTGAAACGAGTTGAAAAGAAACTAATTATTTGTAATTATCTTGTCTGATCGACAAGATAATTACTAATAATTAGTTTCTTTTCAACTCGTTAGCTAATACATTAGAAGAGAAAACTATTAACATCGGTAGATGGAATTCTGCGAAAACGTTATTCAGGTTAATCTTATATGCTGATATAAATACATCCTAAAATAAATAGATGTGCTTAGGTGTAGCCACGGCAGAGAGTACTAAACCACGCCAGCCTCTTCCTACCCGCCCTATCCCCTACACCAACGTCCGGGACCGGTGTAGTGACTCCCACAATCAGTAGCATACAACATTGCTTTGAAAATGCTTAATTTCTTTATCTGTGAATTTCCTTATCACCAAACTACATGCATATGACGAAGTTCTTGCTGCCAACACGAGTCATTCCCTGTCTCGAACAAGCAGTGTCTGGTACTGTGTTTTCTGGAGGATTTGATCAGCATCAAAGGAACTGGTCAAACCCAACCGTCGAACTGTTGAATCTACTAAGTGAATTACGAAGAGACAAACATGCACACGACATGCAGTACAGGGCAAATAACAAACCTCTGACGTGCAAAACAACATAAAATGGAATAAAATATGAACACAAAGAAGAAACTTTCACGACCACAGCAGAGCTACAAAGCAATCATCAGAAGTAAAACACTTGACAGGTAACACGTGATGCTAAACACTGAAACAAGGGACAGAATCGCCAACACTGAACGGTTAAAGTGTAGGATATCAACATGTACTATATTTCATAGAGGATTATATATTATTATTGTATATGATGTAATTAACTCCATGAAAGTGAAAAAGAGTGAGCGCACTCATATAGTGTACTTCTAATAATCATTTCAGTACTTCAGTACTACCACGACCGAACTTTTGTAAGATGTTTACAGTACAGTATTAAATACTGAACTTACAGCATAACTCATTTTTGCAATGGGTTTTGTGTAAATGGTTCTTTTGTAATCATCGGTACCTACTCCTTTACGTTTCTGCATTCCATGTATTCTTCAGAGACGATTAACTGCCCTATGTGTCAAAATAGATACATAGCATTTCTGACAGTAGACGGATTCGAAGGAAGGTGTAATTGCAGGTCAAACTTTTTTATGTAAAGCTATGTCTTTCTGATATGTCTTTTGATAGTGAAGTCTATGTAGAAAGAATATAAGTACCTAGTAATTTATATCACCTACATCGGAATTTCTCAAACCTTTTAACTCGTCGATCCCCTGTGGAGTTTCAAAATTTCTATCGACTTCCTTATCTTTTAATTGATGCAGAAAAAAACTATAAATCAATATGAGTAGTAATAGTAGTAGTTGAAATACAGTATCATGAGAAGGAAACAGCGGCCATTATGTCTCCTATACACAACTTCAAGTCACAATAATCAGTTAGCAGACAACACTGAGCGTATACTGAACTACTAGCTACTAGCAATTCGCCGGCAAAGGCCAAGCCATCAAGAACACTCCCACC